CTCCCGGAGCCGCCGGGAATAAAAAATAAATAAATAGCATAAAGCTGAATATACCTCGATAATGGGGACAAGCGGAGCGAACGGGGGCTGTGCAGCCTGCTGTGACAAGGCAAGGGTAATGGTTTTAATCTGAAAGAGTAGATCGAGATTAGCTGGTAGGAGAAAGCTCTTTACAGTGAGGGTGGTGAGACACTGGCACAGGCTGCCCAGAGAGGGGGGGGGGGCTCCCTCCCCGGGGGAACCCAAACACTCAAGGTCAGGGCTGATGGGACTCTAGTTAAAGGTGTCCCTGCTCACTGCGGAGGGGTTGGACTGGATGACCTTTAAAGGTCCCTTTCAACCCAACACATTCTAAGATTGTGTAGTATTTCCAACTTGGAGATCATCATGCCAAACCTGGTTACCTTGGGAAAAAAATGGGCAATGGCAGCCCTGAGGTTTGCAGACGTTAACACCCACCTCACCCCTCCCAGTCATTCATCCATACTCACTACTGCAAGACAGTGACTGAATAAGCTATAGTTAACATGGTTATAGGGCATGACTAAGCTATAGTTAAGGCAGTTCTGGGGTGAGCTCTGGAAGTCTGTCACAGGAAAGGAAGCTAATAAATAGAATCACAGAATTGAGGCTGGAAAAGACCTCTGAGATCATCAGGTCCAGCCCCTGTCCCAACACCACCACATGGGCCAGACCACAGCACTAAGTGCCACATCCAGACTCTCCTTAAACACCTCCGGGGACGGTGACTCCACCCCTTCCCTGGACAGTGCATTCCAGTATCTGAGCACCCTCTCTATGAGGAAGGGCTTCCTCAGATCCAAACGTTGAGAAGGTAGCCAAAAGAGCCGTGCCATAGCAGTGGGTTATGCTGCAGCATTTCAGGTAAAATCCCAATGTTTACGTGTTTTTCACTAAACAAAATAATTCAGAAATACCCTATGTACAAAACAAACAAAAAGCAGTAAACCTCTCCAGCAAAATATCAGTCAAAACGTCTAAGAACTATTCTCTAGCTTTCAGATACTGAAATGCTATTCAGAGACTTCAAACGAGCATCCGGACATTAAAGTAAGCGCTGTTTCAAAGGCTACAGTTTACTGAATGACAATTACCATCTAGAACTTGCATATTCAGAATAGAGATTTATGAAAGCAGGAAGCCAAATTATGCAAGTTTTTCTTTTTTAAACAAACCAAAGTGAAGACAAGACATTTATTTTAACAAGACTAAGATTTAATTTTTAAAATTTGACATTTAATACAAATATGTCAGGATAACACAAATACACCTGAAATATGCCAGTGTCTGAACCTTAACATGCAAAAAAAAAAATCAATTATAACACATAAAAAACCCAACTAGAAGTTGTAATTTTACATTTATACATCAGAAGTGTCCATTTTAAGAAGTTGAAATAATTAGTCAATAACATCTAAATACTGATTTGTACTGCTAGAACATCTTGTATACTCAAAGCCATAATTCTATATTTGCCCACAGTCTGTAATGACAATTCTTCCATTTACTAGCCCTTTAGGAGAACCAAAGGATTCAATCTTTTTCACAACATCCATTCCATCTTTCACAAACCCAAATACCACATGCTTGAAGTCCAAGTGTTCTGCTTTTTTAAGTGTTATGAAGAACTGAGAATTATTCGTATCCCTGCCCCTATTTGCCATTGACAACAATCCAGGACCAGTGTGTTTCACTTCAAAATTCTCATCTTCAAATGCTGCTCCATAAATTGACCGTCCACCTGTTCCATCATGGTTAGTTATATCACCTCCCTTAAATAAAAAGGAAAAAAAAAAAGAGGAAAAAAGACCACAGCATTAACTTACAAGTCCCAAAACACATCAGCGGCACAATTTTATTTCCTTTCAACATTAAAAACTACTTCTGAAGAACTCATTCTAGTTATTACAGGTATCATATTTACTTAGGTATAAAGCTTCCCAGCAGCTTTGTTCATGGTAATCGAAGCAGTAGTGGAAAGTTTATCCCTTGTGATGTTCCTGCTCCATATGGTGACCACACTTCTAGGCCTGTTTCTCCCACTGTCTGCTTCCCTCATCACTTAGCCCTGTGTCCTGGTTTCAGCTGGGATAGAGTTAATTTTCTTCTTAGTAGCTGGTACAGTGCTGTGGTTTAGATTTAGTGTGAGAATAAAGTTGGTTACACATCGATGTTTCAGTTGTTGCTAAGTAGCGCTCATCCTAAGTTAAGGATTTTTCAGTTTCCCATGCTCTGCCAGCAAGCAGGTGCACAAGAAGCTGGGAGGGAGCATGGCCAGGGCAGCTGCCCCGAACTAGCCAGAGGGATTTTCCAAACCACAGGACACCATGCTCAGTATAGAAACTGGGGGCAGTTGGCCCCAGGGAGGGGCAGATCATTGCTCAGGCATCACTCAGTGGGTGGTGAGCAACTGCATTGTGCATCATTTTCCTTGGCCTTTATTCCTCTCTCATTATATTAATTACAATTATTATTATTTTTCTAATTCTATTATCCATCCCACTAGGAGGAGGAGGACTGATCCCACAGCTGCACAGTGTTTTGTTGCTGGTTGGGCTTAAACCACAACACCCTGATTGCTGGGACCTGTATTATCTCATTGAAAGCCTGTCCTTGCTTAGTCCCTTCAAGCATTGACTTGAACACCTGACAAAGGTTTAGGTACCAGTGGCCAGTAATTTCTCACTTCTGTGCAGGCAGCAGCTTTTGCCACATCACTACTTGTTCAGGAGGGCAGCTGTTGCTAAGGAGAAGGAGTTTTTGTCTTTCTGCAAGGCAGCAAGCTTCTGGCTCTTGATTATTTGACTGTACGCATAAAGATGACAGTATAGGTTATCAAATCTTTGAAGGAAAGCCTTAATTCTCATTCAAGAGCTGCTCACTGTACCTGGAGAAAGATTAGGCAAAGCATAGCAAACTTAGAATATACTAACTTCATGTGATAAAAGCTCAGGGTATGCGTGGTGCAGTTAACTGTTTTAAAAGAAAATCTCCTCTGTTTAGGATGTGCAGTACCCTACAACAAGTTTAAACCTTAAGTAAGCAGCACTGCTCTCTATATCAGAAAGCCACAAAGTTTTACCAAAATAGCCATAAAGGGCATACTTCAGACACAGGTGATAACTCATCACAAGACTGGACAATTTTTTATTTTGGTGACATTCGTGAATTATTGTCTACTTTCTTCTGAGTTTGTACGAGGCCATGCCTTGTCTTCAGGGAGGTAGTGACATAAAGGGACATTAGGGTAGTGTGTAAGGAAGTTGGTTTATTCTGCCTTTTTACAAGTTACTAAAACTCCTTGAATTATTCATGAGAATTTTTGGAAAGTGAAAGATCTAGCTGAGCTATGATCAATCTCCTAAGCCTTCACCATTTATGAAGAACTTGTTGGTGCTACTGAATGCACACAGAGGTTTAAATTCACTGTCTATGTGGGGGTTGAGATGCACTGCTGATGTTCCTGGTGAAAAATTTCAGTATTTTTAAGGACCAGGCCACTGCACAATGAGATCTACTAGATGGAAACTTGAGCATCTAAAATAGTTTGAGTATCAGTTTTAAGTGAATGTTATCTGAAATACAAAGCATTCTTTAAAATATAAGAGAAGCTTGGATACTCAGTGTTCTTAGGTGACCACACACAAGTTCCTCTCTAGAACAGGCTGAATGGTAGTTTTGGGAACCCGTACTTTCCTTGGTCTTCCCTATTCTGCAACAGGCCCCTTGTCCACTGGAAGAGGAGATCTCTATTTCCACGCTAATAGGGCAGCACTAGGTTACACTAAAGCATCAGGCAGGAAGCATTTGGCTTAGGGCAGCACATGCTCCTTGCACCATTTCTCATTTCATTGTCGGGAAAGGGCAGATGAAAATATCTTGCACACTGGATTCATGCTGCCAACAAGAACACGCTATCCTGTAGAAGTGATTTTTTGAAATGCCAGTGTTAGCCAAGCTGCATCTCATTCTCTCAATGAAGAGTCTTTCTGTTGTGCTTACCTGACACACAAAGTCAGTGATGATTCTGTGAAAGGTGGAGTTCTTGTATCCAAACCCTTTCTCCCCTGTGCACAAAGCCCTGAAATTTTCAGCAGTTCGAGGGACAATATTTGAGAACAGCTCCATGGTTATGTGTCCTAAAGGTTCATCATCAGCAGAAACTTCAAAATACACAACGGGGTTGGTGTCCTTTGACAGTCCTGCTGCCAGAGATAAGTGTCCCTTCTGCAGTTCTGATAAGCTTAGCTGGCATTCTTCAAATCTCCTCTTGAAAGAATTAGCCATTTCTTGGCTTTTAAATCTGACTGCAAATTGTTCCACTTTCATTTCACCATCTGAAAGTAAATTCGAGAACAAGTTTTCTTTAATTCTATTCAGTATAGTCAGAAACAAATAGTTTTTGTCTTACGAAATCTCCAGGGAAAAACAAAGCTACAGGAACTACAAACTACCTAGGAAAAAAACCAAAACAAAACAAAAACCACCTGAAGAACTCACCAGCATAATCTGTGGCTGTCCAAATTAAAGCATTGTTTGATGTGTCAGAGGGCACCAAGTTCATTTCTTTGGTGATGACGTGGTTTGCACAGACTTTAAGAACTTGGTCTCTTCTCATTAGGACTCTATAGTATTTCTTCTGTGTATGGAAGAGGATCTTGATCTCTCCAACACCACGCTCCTTCCACTGAGTAGCATCCCTGTCCCATCTGTAAAGTTTTGCCCTCTCTTTGAAGAGAATTTCTTCATCTTCTTCTCCAGATTTTACCTCCACCTACAAAACAGCAGAATACCTGTGATTTTCTGGAAAGCTGCTGTCACCAACAATAGCAAATAGAATCATAATAAATGTATGTAATATTAACATATTACAATGGAAAATTATCCAATATATTCCCTTGTCTCACATTGTTAAAGAACTTGATATTTGCATCTGAACAAAACAAATTCACAATATGACTGAGGCCTGACAGCCATACCTCCTCCTCACTTTACATATGCACATTACTGGCCTCTAACCTCCTTTAGTTAACACACCTTCCAAAGACAGGGAACACTTGAGAGAACGGGAGAAATACACGACAAAACTATTTGTGGAGAGAGAGAAAACAGAGAACCAACAAGTAAGGAAAAAAAGAAAATCATAGAAGTCATAATATGACACACAAATGAGTAAAGACATACCAAATCTTGAAGTTATGAAGACACATTACAAAATACATCACATTTGCTGTTCTAATTGAAGGACACCACATATTGTTTATTTGGTGGTCTATTTGTTTTGCTCAATTACACTAATCTGTGATAAATTAAAGGCTGTGGACGTTGTCTGCCTGGACTTTTAGTAAAGCTTTTTCTCTCTGCTAGAGAAGCTGGCTGCTCATGGCTTAGACAGGCATGCTCTTGGCTGGGTTAAAAACTGGAGGGCCAAGCCTAGAGAGTGGTGGTGAACAAAACTCAATCCAGTTGGTGGTCACAGAATCACAAAATGCTCGGGGTTGGAAGGGACCTCTAGAGATCATCTAGTCCAACCTCCCTGCCAGAGCAGGATCACCTAGTTCAGGCAACACAGGAACATATCCAGGCAGGTTTTGAAAGTCTCTAGAGAAGGAGCCTCGTTGGATGGCAGCAGAGCCTTCCTGTGTGTCAGTCACCCCTCCCAGTTTTGTATCATCAGCGAACTTGCCGGTCAGTCACCAGAGGCATCCCCCAGGGCTCGTTTTTGGGGCCGATCTTGTTTAATATATTTATCATCTGGATAAATGGATTGAGTGCACCCTCAATAAATTTGCAGGCAACACCAAATTGAGCACAAGTGTTGATCTCCTGGAGGGTAGGGAGGCTCTGCAGAGGGATCTGGACAGGCTGGATCGATGGGCTGAGGCTAACTGTCTGAAATTCAACAAGGCCAAGCGGTGGGTCCTGCACTTGGGTAACAACAACCCCTGGCAGTGCTACAGGCTTGGGGAGGAGTCGCCGGAAAGTTGCCTGGTAGCCGATCAGGGGGCATTGGTAGATAGCTGGCTGAACATGAGCCAGCAGTGTGCCCAGGTGGCCAGCGGCATCCTGGTATCAGAAATAGTGTGGCCATCACAAGCAGGGAAGTGATCATGTCCCTGTACTCTGCACTGGTGAGGCCATGGCTTGAGTACTGCGTTCAGTTTTGGGTGCTGCAGTGTAAGAAATACACTGAGGTGCAGGAGTGGGTCCAGACAACAAGTCTTATGAAGAGCAGCTGAAGGAGCCAGGGTTGTTTAGCCTGGAGAAGAGGTGGCTGAGGGGAGACCTCATTGCTCTCTACAGCTACCTGAAAGGTGGCTGCAGCAAGGTGGAGGTTGGTCTCTTCTCCCACATTAGTGACAGGGCAAGAGGAAAGGGAGGTTTAGATTAGATATTAATCAAAATTTCTTTACTGGAAGAGTGGTGAAGCATTGGAAATGGCTGCCCAGAGAACTGGTGGAGTCACCATCCCTAGTGTTCAAAGAAAACATACAGATGTGAGACTTCACAATATGGTTTAGTGGTCACGGTAGTGTGAGGTAGACGGTTGGAATTTAGACATCTTTTGCAACCTTACTGTTTCTATGATTCTATTCAAGGAAAGCCACATGATAATAAGAAAAGTTTGAAATGGTTATTGGGGACACTGCAGCTAAATATCAAATCAAGACATCAAAAGCTGAAGTCTCAATGAATAAGTTAAAAGGCTGCCTTCAAAGTTGAAGGATCTCCTATGTCTTTTTAGGCTAGTATCCTTAGACTTCAGGTAAGGTTAACTGTACTACATCTTTATCACATAGCAATTCTAGAAATCTCTTGCCTAGCTTAGAGAAAATTTTTTAGTCAGCCTGGCTTTCACAGAACTGAATATACAAGTCATTGATACAATGTCACAGCTGAGTTGTATTAGCACTAAAAGTTATTCAGATCCCTCCATTTTCAACTGCTCTATAATGAATCAGTTTTCACTGTTAGAAGTTATAAGGACAAATTTGCATACTGATCAACACCCAAAGTATAATGAAATAAACATTGAAGATTTTAGCCGATGCACCAGACACTTCCCCAGTGCCAAGCTGTACTAGCATTTAAAACAGCAAGCGTTTCAACACAGGCAGCGCAAGAAACACAGCACAAAGTTCATTAAGCAAAGCACTTTTTTTGCTCTGTTAGCAGACATGCCCATCTTCATGTTGTTTTACGTTCCAGAAGTCACCTTACCTCTGGTAAGGACACAATTGGCTCAAAGTGGATATCATCACTATGTACCACCTCGTCATCACTACCACCTTCATCTTCAGCTGCTTTACGGGCTGTTTCTCCAAAGACAGCTGCTCCTGTATTTGCCCATTTGAAGTTTTTATCTACAATTAAAATAGTTACATTTTAAACTGTGTACGTTTTCTTCCTGACAAAAACTTGCAAAAACCTTATCAGCTGATCAATTAGGAGAAATTTGGTGCACAAAAGGTATATTGTATGAAGCAGAAATCCAGCTGGAGTGTGTGTCTCCGAGTAGTTTAACTTACCTTTTGTGCCAAAAGCAAAGTCTACAGAGTTCTTGGAAGCCAGATCTGCAAATGACAAGCCTGCAGTGTTGCCAAAACCAAACGAGATGACTTTGTTTTCTATCAAACAAAAGGGGAAAGGTAAAGGTTCTTCTCTGCCTTTTTTAAAGAAAATGCATTTAATGTCATGTAGTCACAGGAATAAATACTGTTGAGACTTCTCTAGTTTATCTTTCAATAAATTTAAAGTTTGCATGACACTTGTCATGACAGTCATTTATTATAAGAAAAGGGCTCAAAACTGAGAGAATTTCAAAACTGTGAGAGAATTTCAGCACACTACTTATTAGATCTCTGTGCATTACAGAGAAGTATTCATGCAGTATTTAACAGTAAACTAATGAAAGTACACAACATGTAAATTATAGAGACTAGCATTGCTCTGTAGTAGTGACATTTGAACACATCAGAATTTAATGTATATATTTAGCTTAATTCCCAGATACATTTTTTACTAGTTTCGTACTCAATGCTTCTAATTCAGTATTGGTACTACTTCTCTTCAAGGCAGCAACTACATTAGATAACTAACCTACACAAAACCCCACAAGATACCCCTGATCTTACCTTGTGTTGACTCTGAACAGTCTGAATCACTTTTTTTAGTTGACAAGTCTACAGGTTTGTCATCAGTTCCTGATAAAGTCTGTGGTACATCCACAGTTTCTGTGGTGGTATCTGGTTCTTCATTGCTGGGAGCTGACTGGACAAATACTGTTGCCTCAGTGCTAGGTAACTCTTCCTTACTGGTACAGACTAAGTCAGCTGAGCTTGTAACTTCATCCTCCTGAGATTTAATAAAAAACGTAAAGCAATAAGCAAATAAGCCAAAAGAGTCCAGTATTCAAACCACTTCATCAGGAGACTAAGAACAGTCATTTTACCAAAACAAGCAAACAAACAAAACAACAATAAACCAATCACCCAATTAAAAAAAAAATCAACAAAAAACCCACACCAAAAAATCCCTACAAAACACAAGAATTGTTAAGTATAATGAAAAGCTTCAGAAAACTTAACACATAAGGACATTAACTCAGAAAGAAACTGGAGTATCTTGGAAGGAGTATGCTTTAACAAAAAAAAAAAAACCAACCAACACAAAAAACTATTAATTCACAATATCAATTAGTCCTTATATATACACATTAGGAATGACTGTACTAGCCAAAGCAGTTTATACTTTGAGAACATCTGTACCTTCTTTCTTTGCCCAAGGAACTTCAGATCTAAGCTTCCATTTCAGTGTAGGCAAAGACTTGAGGCACAGTCACAAGAGTCAAGTAGTTTTTCCCCCCTGCCTTATTCTTAACAAGGCAAAAACTATGTAAAGTCTCACATATATTTTAATGACAAAGTTTAGTACAGATTTAGTTCTTACTTTTTCTTCTTCATTTTTAACTTCTGTCTGGAAGTCTTCTGGGCTGTCATCCTCAGTATCACTGCTGACCCCACAGACAGATGTGGAAGAAACCTGCAGAGTTTCTGCTTCAGCCTTCTCCTCAGGAGTTGGTTTCTTTTCCCAAGTACTACTAGTACATTCTCTTTCACTGTTGGATTCACTTTCTCCTGTGATGCCTACTGCAAAGAATAAAAATAAGTGGAAAATAGCTAGGAAGGCAGCTAAATACTGAAGTGATTTTTGGCATCTGCGTTATTTCATAACCTCGTAATAGTCAGAGCAACTTGGAAGTCAGACTTGAAGAGTTTTTCAAGCAGCATTATTGTTTAAACAGTGGAAAATGAAGACTAGGCTTAGTAGCTAAAATAGAAGTTTTCTATTGCTGTCAGGTAATTTCTATGCAATGAAGAGTTCAGTCTTGCAGCTGTCACTACTAATAGCTTCCTTCAACATTTGCCCATATTCCAGATGGCTCAGTATATACCATCTCTTTCTAGCACATATTCTCAAACAAAAAAACCCCAAACTACACCTCTAGAAGTATTCACCCAGGTTTTCACTTATACAGCACTGAAGTCTGAGGCACAAAGTAGACATAAAAATAAGCAGCAAATTCAGTCTTCTACACTTGTACTTTTAAATGTAAAGACCAAATACCTTTTTTTTTTTTAAGACTGAACACCATCAACTTGTATGTTTAACTTGACTATCTGCAGAAGCAGCAAGTATTCACAGATGCAAACAACTTTTGTCTTGTACAGTATCATGTCAAGCTGAATCCTTCAAATTCTATGATTCTATGAAATTCAGAAGGGGCTCAATGTAGGAAGACAACGTGATGTTCTTGTTTAGAGGGCAGCTGAAACGTGCATTTTGCATTCAGGTGCCACTTTACTGCCAACTAACAGCTCAACAGAGCTTAAAACTATATTTTGAAATGCAACTTTTCTGCTCCCAGCATCAGTGCTTCTAAAAAAAAAAACCAAAAAAAATCCCACCACTATCTCAGGAAACATAAAATCAATCTCAGTGCCCATGTGTCCTTCAGATTCAGAACTTGTGTTTCAGTATACAATATATTTTATTGTGTTTTAAGACATACTTTTTACAGGTTCTTGCAATATCTTCTTCTCTTCTGAACTGCTTGGATAGAGTCTTCCATTAAGTTTCTTGACAGCTGTTTCGTAGTCTTCATCTTAAATACAAGAAATAAGTATTAAGTTCTTAAGCATCCTCTAAGTAGAGAGGAGTCTGCTAAGCCCTTCTGACTCACAAGGTGAGCAAGCATGGATCATCTTTGCTTCTGTATTAAGAGCTCTGTACACTAGCACGTAAGCTTTCACCTCCTACTTTGCATACATCTGCTTCAGGGTGCTACTGACACTCTTCTTGGCCTCAGCTGTAACAGATACATGGGTTTTGTTAGGGAACCTGAGCATGTTCCTTTTTGATAAAGGCTGCCTTGTCTCTAAAAATAGCTACAGAAGTAAGCCTCTTGCTCAGATGAGACCAGGCTCAATCATCCGATTATTTAGTCTTACCTAACCAACTACACTGGTAATATGAGTGCCAATACTCAGAAGACAGAAATACAAATTCTCTTTAGTCATTTCCTTGGCCTCCATCGTACTATCCTGTCTTGAAGACCTGAGTCTACAACTATGGCCATAAGGAAGATGACAGGATAATGTCTAAACAAAAATATTCTACTGTCTAATGCTTCTGATAGTATTCACAGAATCACAGAAAACCTCAAGCTGAAAGGCACTCGTATGGACAATTTGCATCCAGCTCCGTGCTGACTACGTAAACGTAAATCATATGCCTATGAGTTTCATCCAGATGCTCCTTGAACTCTGACAGGCTTGACAGTGTCATGACCTCTGCCCTGGGGAACCTGCTGTTCCAGTGACTGACCATCTTCCCTGTGAAGAACCCTTTCCTAATGTCCAAACTGAAACTCCCCTGATGCATCTTCATTCTATTTCCTTGTGTCCTATTGCTGGAAACCAGAGAGAGAGACTAGCATCCCCTCTCTGCTGTCCACCTTGAAGATGAGGTCACTCCTCAGCCTTCTCCAAGCTGAACATGACCTCAGCTGTTCCTTTTAAGTGTGGCCACCAAGGTCTTTCACCATCTTTATCATCCTCCTCTGGACACACTAAGTACTTAGTCCGATGTCCTTCTTGTACCCAAAACCACACAGTGCTTGAGACATGGCTGCACCAGTGCAGTGTTACACCCTTCCCCGCCAAAAAACAGCAACACAAAGATCACCTCTGGGCATTACTTACCATCATCCTCGTCACTCACATATCCAGGCTTATTCTTGTAACAGAAGAATGTGGAAGGTAGCTTAAGAAAGCCAGCGAGCGCTCTCTGCTCAGGAGTGGGTGTTAACTCATACACTATTATAACGTCATCAGATGGAAGATCATCTTCTGACGTCGTTTTCTCAGCTTTTTACATAAATTGAACAAACCATTAGAATGGAGTAATATCAGAACAGGGAATAACATTAACCCCACACGGTCACTATGACAGAATTGAGTTAATTCTAAGGCAGTTAGAAAAACAATTAGAGCCTACAGATCTTCTGCTGATCCAAAGCAAATAAAAATCAAAGTTTCAGGATGCTAGGACAGAGCATCCTATTAAAATCTAAGAAATTCTAACCTGCATGCCCAACTACATCCTGTTCTATTGCCTTTGGAATTCAAGTATCAGAGCAGAAACAAGCCTGTATCTTTATATTGTCAGAAGGATTATTTAACCAAGTCCTCATGTCAAACAAAATCTGACTATGGAGAAGGATATAGGTGCTATCTAGAGGTAGGGAGGCAAACTTCAGGCCTGAAAAGAGAAAAAGCGAAGCTGTCTACAGCAACATGTCCTATTGCATTGCTTAAAAGTGCTTAAAGTTCTAGAAAAATTTTAAACAGCAACTGAATAGAACTTATTTTAGGCTACCTATTGGAAATCTCAGCCTTTTATCAGCTAATCTAAATTTACCGTAATAGCTGTTGCTGAAACATTTATTGTTACAAAAGTAAAGTCATTTTTAGTTCTGCCACAATGAATAACAAAACATACTGCTTTCAGCCTATGTAACTAGCTTTTCCAGCAAGGACAAATAGCATTATCAATTTTATTATATCCTCTTTTCTCCTCTCTCCTTCAGCATGAAGTTGTCCATTCTACTTGGATTGAAAAAGTGCATAATCAAAAGTTAAAGCTGAAAGCACAGCCAAGAGCAAACTGCAGAAAAACAAATTGGTTAGAAAAACAAGCAGACAGCTTTGGAAACAAAGACTTGAGTTTATTATGCAAGAATGGAAGCAAAGAGGGAAGATATACCAGTTTAAGCGTCATGTATTGTTTGTTTGGGTGTTGTTTGTTTGGGGTCGGATTTTAGTCTTGTTTGAGAGGGGGAGTTTGGGGGCAAAGTTGTGAGAAACAAATTTGTTAACTATTTATAAGAATTATCCCATAAGCGAATCAATATCCACATACTGGTGTTTCTAAGCACAGTTTGATTGCTTTAGTAAGTTAATCTATTTGTTAATGTTCTCCAGGTTTAAGTTAAACTAATCAGCACAATGTGAAGGTTGCTCTCAAAAGCTCATTGCTTTTTTCATTAGAAATATTTGATGAGCTTGTGGCACAATGTAATCAGTGGGAACCTAAATCTTCAGCTAGGAATCAGACTACTACTTGGCTCCTGAGGAACATTCATTTTCCTGCCTATGCAATTTGATATTCATCATTGCAAGATTAGACAAGGACAGAAGCATAACATTTATACATACTCCTTGATCCTCTGACATAACTGACACATTAAATAAATTTGCTTTTTAATTTTCCCACTAGTACATTCCATTAGGTTAACAGCAATATAACATAGAATAGTAGAGCAAAAGCAAAATGCCAAAGTACTAGTTCAAATTATGTCTTTTTTCTCCAAAGTGTTCCCTTCCAACCTTTGCCCTAATTGACTCTCCTTTTGACTACAAGTTAATTATCTCAGACATTTATGTACTAGAGTATAGGTCAAACCCATTAGAAGCACACATAGTCTTCCAGACTAATTCTTTTAGCTCACTTTTTTATATCTCAATAGCTCTTCTGAGCCTGTATAAACTAAATGTAGGATAAAATTCTTGAACAGCAAATTCCTTATGCAAAAAAATCACTAGCTCTAGTTGCTTCAAGAATTAGGAGTACATTTAGTATCACATTATGAAGATAAGCAAGCATCTCAACTAGATTGAGTCATTTTGCACAGAGTTCACCACCGAGGTCTAAGTGTGGAGTATTTAGTCACATAGCCATTAAAGGTTACAGCAAAAAGTCAGCTTCCTTTGGAGTAGAGAATTTTCAAAAATGTTTCTTCAATAACAAAAAATGTCTTTCAAAAATCAGTCATGTAACTGGTAGAAGTGTAAGCTTCCTTTAATCTGAGCTGTAAAAAGCTAGCTAAAAGACCCTGACAACAGATGATATAGTCCATTGTATTCAGACAGCATTCCCTAATAATTATCATGCAGTTTCTTTCAGTAGCCCCTGTGCAAAGTGGCTGAATATAAGAAATGCATTAAAGTCACTTCGGATTAATCCATAGGTAAATTTATCCACAGATTAAGATTCTAGTGTTCCAAACATCCGCTCAAAGTGACAGAAAGGTTCAACAACAAAGATTAACATCACAATGTGTATTTGCCCTTACGATGTGTATTTACCCTCAGAATGCCAAGACTGAGTGGGATGCTCACTGGTTCAGTTAAGTCAGTTTCTGCTCACACCCCCCACAAGAAAGTTAACTTTTCTTATTCAAAAGTGCTGCAAACAGGTTAAACATATTTTCACAGGCAGCCGTGAAAACAAAGAACCATGTGTAAGTACAACATACTCTTAGAACACTGTTGATTTTGTGAAATAGAATTTTCTACTCAGGGGAAAAGAAGCCATACAAAACATTGTTAGTATATGGAAGGAACAACATAAAGAACAATACTACACACAACAGCTCTTTTCACTGGTATATCATATTTTTCCTTTTGTTTCAATTGACGTTAAGATCAATTAGGCCTAAATATCTAGCTAGTCTTAATATTGATTTTTCTCATACATGCATCAGTGAATATCTTCTGGATATAAGAGAAAAGTGTCAGAGCTGAAACCTTAATGCATGTGATGATGCAATATCATGCTTGACATAACTTTGATGCAAATATGTAAAGGATTTATTAAAAAAGATCATGATCTGACCTGCAAAAAATTTACAAGGACTTTTGCATGGAGGTGCAGAACTATTATAAGGTTAAATTTCCTTTGAATGTTGCTCTAGCATAATTCAGAAGTTGATCTTTGAAAGATACTCCCTGTGAGAAAGTCTGAGATTATATTTGCATTGCGTAGGCTTGAAAACCCTAATTTAGAAAGGGCTTCTTGAAATCATTTGCTATTAAGTCAGAGCTCAGAAAAAAAAGGCCACTAAAAAGCTACACTGAAGACAATTATCAACTGTAAATAAATCACTAACTAACAATAGTATCCCAGCTATCTGAAAAGTAGAAGTCAAAACTAGTCTGAAGTACCAGAAAGGCCTATTTTGTTTGTTTTTTTAAACACACACACATTTGCCCTCACACACCTCAATATAAAAACAGGATCAATTTGAGGTATAAGAAGTTCTTGCATGTATGCATTGGTGCAGAATATTTAATTGCTTCATTTCGTGGACACAGAATTACAAAATTAAAATTGAATTGTTAATAAACTCCATGCACAGGGCTACCTAAAAATCACACAACAATTGACTTTAGATTAGGTACACAGAACAGGAGTTCAGTGTTGAAATAAGAACAGCTTCTCCAGAAATACAGTTTTGGGAAAGTGGTGTTTGGACTGACATTGTGACATTTTTAAACAATATAAGACACTAACATTAGAAGATTGTCTTGTGCATACTAGAATGAAAATTTGCATTTTAGAATTAATATGCTGTTGAACTTTTGAATATGCTTACAGCAAGCATACTTGCAAGAAGCAACATTAGTAACCTCTTATGACAGTCAAATAAGCTGTAGATTTTGGTTACAGGTTCGTGAATGTTAACAAATTGACTACTCAGGAGAAACTTTCTGAGAGCTCAGATGGTCTTCTTATTATACATGATGAATATGCTTACAGCAAGCATACTTGCAAGAAGCAACATTAGTAACCTCTTATGACAGTCAAATAAGCTGTAGATTTTGGTTACAGGTTCGTGAATGTTAACAAATTGACTACTCAGGAGAAACTCTGAGAGCGCAGATGGTCGTCTTAGTATACATGAAATATATACACATAAGCAGTAGCTAAGGAGTTTGCTTTCTCATTTATGTTTTTAAAGTGCAGTAGTTAACATACTGATAATCAGGAAACTGAATGAAACATTTCCAAGAGAGGATAAATACATTCAAGTATTTCACTAGATAACCAGTCTTGAGATCATCATTGAACTGAAGACATTAAGAGATTTATTCTCTAAGAATATCAGGGTAATGGAATTTCTTTCAAAAAAACAGAACCAGTGTGCATGTTCAGGAAAACTGCAATGCAGAAGTGCAAGACAGATACCCTCAGAAGATAAGGCAAACAGAAGCCAAAAGCTTAAACAGGGCCATTCATTGCACCAGCTTGTATTAACATACTATGGGCTACAGACATTCTCCAATGGGACAAAAAGAGTGGTCAGACACAATTTTAAGTACTCTTCTTCAGCATGCATGTTAATTATAAGGATTACTGAGCTAACTGCTTTGCCAGCTGGGTTACTGTCCATGCCTGCTAAAGTGTTTTTATCACACATTCAGTGCAGTATGCAAATACCTTTACTATCAGGTTGCAAGGAAGGTGTGCTTGTCCAAAAGGCCATTGGATTAGATTTAAAAAGGCTAAAATTAAATCCTAAAAAAATAAATTGTTTGGATATAAGTGTTTACCTAGAATTTTAAAAGGGTAAACCAGACCTATACATGTCTGGGAAGCATTCCATAGCTGTATTTCACAGTAGGAAATTCCATCTATTAATCCTATACAAGCTTATCCAACCCACGTGAATAGACTGCAGCTATCATTTTCTGCCACGTCACTTTACTGTATTTTATTTACTTAATTAATCATAGGATAGCATGGTTGGAAGGGACCTTAAAGATCATCTGGTTCCAATCCCCCTGCCATGGGCAGGGACACCTTCCACTAGACCAGGTTGCTCCAAGACCCCCATCCAGCCTGGCCTCGAACACTTCCAGGGAGGAGACATCCACAGCTTCACTCTCACAAAAAATAGTTTCTTTCTAATATCTGATCTAAATCTACCCTCTTTCAATCCGAGAATGTTATCCCTTATCCTATCACTACACTCCCCGATAATAAGTCCCTCCCCTTCTTTGCTGTAGGGCCCCTTCAGGTACTGAAAGTCTGCTATAAGGTCTCCCTGGAGTCTTCTCTCCTCCAGGCTGAACCACCCCCACTCTAAGCCTCCCCTCGTAGGAGGGGTGCTCCAGCCTCCTGATCATCTTTATCACTCTTCTCTGGACTTCCTGCAACAGGTCCATGTCCTCCTTTTGCTGGGGATCCCAGAGCAGAACACAGCACTGCAGGGGAGCTCTCACAAGAGCAGAGTAGAGGGGGAGAATCACCTCCCTCAACCTGATGGCCACTCTTCTCTTGATGCAACGCAGCACACTGTTGGCTTTCTGGGCTGTGAGCTCACATTGCTGACTCATATTCAGTTTTTCACCCTCTAAAACCACTCCCTTCTCTGCAGGGCTTCTCTCAATACATTTATCACACAGCCTGTGTTTGTGCTTGGGATTGCCCCAATCCAAGGTGCAGAACCTTGCACTTGGCTTTGTCAGACTTCATGAAGTTCACACAGGCCCACCTGTCCAGCCTGTCAAGGTTCCCGTGAATGGCCTCCTTTCTCTCCAGCACAAAGACCACACCACACAGCTTGGTGCTGTCAGCAAATTTGCTGAGGGTACACTCAATCCCCCTGTGCATGTCATGAACAAGGATGTTAAACAGCACCGGTTAAGACAGTATGTCTTCATAATACTGAGACCAGTATGTAAATTAAAAACTATCATCTGACTAAAGTCTTGCTCTGATGGGAAACAGCAGATGAAGCCTTCTAAGAGAAGTACTCCACCATTAACAAAGGCTAGTAAATCCCATTCTTCTCAGGAAGACACTTCAGCATGTTACAGTGATGATGTCACAGCCCCAACTTCTGCAAGTACATTTTTTCAAACAACGTCAGAAACTGTAACTGCAGATGTAACCACATGATCTGCTTTAAGGCCAAGGAAAGAGGCTAATGTCTCATGTTATTTAAGCTACACATCCGAAATTGCAGAGGCCAATAATTAAGACGTTGAAGAAACGTATTGAGAGTAGGTTTAGAATACCCATGTGTTCAGTCATGGTAGTAATTCAAATTTTAGATGAAGCACACATTTGCTGTTCTTACACTTTACCACTCGGAGCAATGGCCTGGGTACATACACTACCAATCCAACTACATATTTACGACTCAAAAAATGAATCTACAGATCCTTTTTTTAAGCACTTAAGCCTGAAATTCAAGTTAATCAGTTACAGCTCCTACCAGAAATCCTCTCGCTAATGAACAGAACTCCATTCTGCATCACACACTTTCAATTTATATGAAAATAATTATGACTTAAAATTCACTCCTGTAGTTGCAACTCCTGAAAACTTGTGAAGATGTGGGTATCTGCACTAGAATTGAAAGAAACAACGTATTATCAAGACAACAAAGAATAATGAATAGCATAGAGATGACTGCTTAATAAGTTGCACAGTTGAATAAACTAATAGTTCAATTGACACTCACCTTTTTCCAGAATTCTAAATGAGAAGTTAGAGGGTCCAACTTGTGTTGCAGTAGGCACGTTGTCTACCTTGCTGTCTAGAGGCTTCTGAGGAGTACTAGAGCTTTTTGGTGGTTCAGAGACTTTCAGTTCTTTCTGTGTAGTGTTCTGAGGCATTGTAGTATGATCTTCACTCTTTCTTGGAGGATTAAAGCTGAAGCCAAAGAGAGAACCGGTGGCTGAAGTATTTCCAAATGTGAATGTCTTTGACTTTTCATTGCTGAAAATGCTCTTGACAGATTCAGATCCAAATACAAACTTTGGAGGAGAAACCACTGTTTTCATCGGTGTTTCAGAAGTGCTTGACACCTCTGCAGTCTCTACAGCTGCATCAGAACTATCATCACCATGGCTGAGGTCAGTTCTGTCTCTGGTAGTTTCTTCTAATACAGCTACAGCATTTTTACCACATGGAGATTCCTTTGGTGTATTGGCACGAGAAGAAAGAGGTGTTATCAGCGTGTCTTTCTCTTGGGCATGCTTTGCTTCATCAAAAATCTGCTTAAATGAGTCTGCAACATCTTGCAGCTTGAATCGCACAGCTAGAAGCTCTACTTTCCTTTCCCCATCTGCAAAGTCACATGCAGTCCACACCCATGCCCTATCAGATCCTTTCATTTGTTGCATATTCATATCTGGTGTTATCCTGTGATTGGCACAGAGTTTTAGTACCTGGTCCCTTCTCATTACTATCCGCACTTGTTTGTTGTCGTAGTTCTGCAATATCTTGATATCCCCAATACCTCTCTCCTTCCACTGATTGGCGTCTTTGTCATACCGGTAGAGCTTAGCTCTGTGACTGAAGACAACTTGCTCATTTTCCTCACCACTGGTCACTTCCACGAGATCAGGCAGAGGGACAACAGGTTCAAAGTACTGCCCATCTCTCTCTTCTTCCTGAGTAACATCAGAGTCTTCATCTGTGCCTACTGATGTTCGACTCTGGTTCTGTTTGGCAGGAGATTTGGATGGGCTCAAGGCAGATTTAAAGCTGAAACTAAAGCCTGTGGTCGACTCTCCAAATCTAAACAAATTTTTTCTTACAGGGCTACTTGCAAGAGGCGACGCATACACAGAACTACTTACACTATCATCCAATGTTTCTTCACGCAAGTCGTAGTTATCCCATTCCAGGGTAGGCCCAGTACTTTCAGCATGCGGCTTTATCACGACATCAGAAGTACTGCTGGCACAACCAGAGTTGACATTTTCCTCTTCTGACAGTTTAGTTTTGTCATCTGTTAGAAAAGTTTTAAGATCTTTTAAGCCACACTTCATCTCTTCGGCTTTCTGTATAAGCTGAGCTGTCCTACCTGTATCAACAAGTTTATGGGGTGTCTGCAGTGGTATATCTAGTAGTAGCCTCTGACATTCTTCAAACTTCTGCTTGAACTCCTCAGCCTGCTCTGGTGTCTTGAATTTTGCTGCCAGTTGTTCCAACTTCGCATCACCATCAGAGAAGTCATTGGCCATCCACATCCATGCTTTGTCTGAGCCAGACAGCTGTTTCAAGTTCATTGTGGTTGTTATCCAGTGATTTGCACACACCTTCAGTACCTGCTCACGCCGCATTAATATTCTTACTTTGCCATTGACTTCATTTTTAAGAATCTTGAGGTTGCCCACCCCACGTTCTTTCCACTGGCTTGTTTCTGGATCAAATCTGAACAGCTTTACTCTTTGGGAGTACAAAACTTTCTCATCTTCCTCTCCTGTAAATGGTTCTACTTTTTCAGGCATCTGAACTATAGGTTCAAAATGTATATCATCACTGTCCTCTGTCTTATATACATCATCATCCTTCTCACCAAGGTCAGCAGATGTGTTTGCTTTGTGATCCATTTTAGAATCCTGTGAAGAAAACAGCTTTTCACCCGCACCTGAAAAGCCTTTGAAGTTCGGGTCTTTTTTGCCAAACTGAAAGCCTTCCCTAGGAGTACTTTTTGCAAGCTCAGCAAAAGTAAAAGTGCTGCTACTCTGCCCAAAAACAAAGTCGTCTTTCTCCTTGTTTGCTGTTTCTTGAAATGAGAATGTAATTCCGCTGTCTGAAGGTGGTTCCTTTTTATCTTTGTCATCAGTGCTTTTCAAGTCAGTTGTAGACTCTTTCGATGGCTCATCTTTCTTAGTGGTAGTTTTACTAGACTCCTGTATACCAAATTTAAATCCACCTCCAGGCATTGGCATTGAAAAGCTAAATCCTTCTTTTGCAGGCTTGGCTTCAGTATCAGAAGGAATCTGAAATGTAAATGATGGTGTCTTGCCTTGCTCACTAAGACCAAACTTAAAGCCCTTTTCTAAGAAATCACACTTAAAGCCTGTTCCCAATTGTCCTCCAGCAGGTTCGGATAATTTACTTTTCAAGCCAGTGGTAGGCGTTGATATAGAATCACCATCGGGCTTACCAGACGGATTTGGTGTTTGGCAGGCTACGCAGGCTGGTGAAGAACCTTCATTCCTCACCAAACAAGTACTACAATCCCACTGACCTTCCTTTTTGGTAAAAAGACCTTCAAATCCATTTTTCTGTGGCTTACTCGCATCAGCGATGGAACCAAACTTGGGAGCGAGGGACACCTGAACAGTAGTTGTAGGCACATTTGGTTGACTTTGAGAATTAGGATTCTGACAAGAACGACAGTTCACATCTTTTGCTTCATTTTGGACTCGGCATACAGAGCAGTCCCACTGACCTTCTTTTTTAGAAAAAGTAGTTCCCAAGTCCTTTTGAACAGCCTTTGGAGCAACTGCTTGGGCAAATTTAGAGGAAGCTTGTTGACCAGACACGGCCGCATTAGTTTTGTTTGGATTCTGGCAGGCAATGCACTTGGAGGCAGTGGGTTCATTTCTTACTAAACAGACACTACATTCCCATTGCCCTTCCTTTTTAGCAAAAGCAGAGCCAAATTTGTCCTGCACAGCGTTACCACTGGCTTTGAAACCTGCAGCAGAGTCAGCTGATGGGGTACCATGTGTTTCCCACACACTGGGATTTGGACTTTGACATGATACACCATTCTTGGCAGTTGCTTCATTTGGAACTAAACATACTTTAGACTCCCATTGATCCTTCTTCAAGAGATGCTGCCCAAACCCACCAGAATAGGTTTGTGGGGCTTCCTTTCCAAATGAAAAAGTGGTAGGGACAGATGCAGTTGACGCAGCTGTGAGGCTGCCTTTGCCATCAGCTTCACTGCTCGCCCCATCTTTCGGGAACTGAAAGCCAAAGTTCAGGGTCCCAGAAATGGATCTGCTAGTCTCCTTGAGATCTTGATTTGGTGTTTCTTTTGCAGTCCCACTACTATGAGTCACGGATGTGTCAACATTCGATCCCAAGGTTTTTAAAATATTCTGTGACTCCTCAAACTTACTTTTGAAAAGCATTGCTTCCTCAGGTGTTTTAAATCTAATTGCAAGCTGTTCTGGTTTTGGTGACTCGTCTGCATAATCTAAAGCGTGCCACACAAATGACTTATCTGACCCAGCATTTGGAGTCAATTTCATATCAGTATTTATGTAGTGATTTGCGCAGATTTTCAGCACTTGGTCTCGTCTCATCAAGAGACGAAATTTGCCAGATACTTTGTGTTTCAGTATTTTCACATTTCCAACACCCCTTTCTTTCCATTCTTTAGATTCTGCATCAAAACGAAAGAGCTTGGCTCTGTTGCAGAAGAATTCTTCTTCATCTTCCTCACCTGTTTTTACTTCAATCTTGTCAGGGAGTGGCACCACAGGATCAAAATGAGGACCATCATCATCCTCATCTCCACCATGGGTGCTTCCTCCCTCTGTTTCATGACTTCTATTGGCTAAATCTGAATTTGAAGTCATAAATACAAGCTTGCTTGGTTCCTGGGCACTCAACGCATCACTCTTCTCAAAACCCAGGGTTTTGTGTGCATTTTGTCCCACACTTTCTCTAAAAGAGATGCCTGGCATATGTTTATTGCCAAAATTGAAGACATTTCTTTGACTACTTGTGTGGTCATTAGCTGGTTTCTGTTCACTGTATCTATCATCCTGTAAAGGTTTGTCAGATGTCAGAAGACCCAAGAGGCTTTCGCTGCTATTAAAAGCTGCATTTGGAGGCTGTGGTGCAACCTGAAGAGAAGAAAAGGTAAAATCTCCATCGTTAGACTTGAAGTTAGTGTTGAATTTAAAAGTTGTTGGCTGACTCGCCTGTGCTGGTGTTGGCAGAGATGTTTTTGATCCTTCTGCTGTTCCTGGCTGTCCAAATTTAGATTTTGGGAATTCTATCACTTTTGATTCTGCAGGCTTCAAAGGCGGTGGTGCGATTGAAGGCTTTGTGAAATAGCCTGGTTCAGGCAATGGTGGATTTGTGCTTGCCTGTGGAACACTGTAATTGTAATACTCATCCCCCCCACGAGGGGAAATGAGTCCAGTAGCAGAAGAATCAAAACGTAGAGGTGTGCCATATATCTCTTGGGAAAACATACAAGTAGATGTGTTTTGCAGAGGTGGTGTATGCATCGGTTGCTGATAAGCATATATATGTTGCTGAGGTGTAAGGCGGTTCATGCCATAGACAGGAGCCTAAACGAAAAGCGGAAAATGATTGCTGTGCTTATTATGATATCAGAGGACAAATTCTTAACATGCTGAAGTCTATGCAACATGTACTCTTAAAAGCAGGGCATACTTTGATGCTAATTTAAATCTAAAGTAACTTTGTTTAGACCAATTAGCTTAAATCTTGAAGGGCATCTGAAAGGGAGCATTGAAAAAGGGGCACAAAATGAGCAAGTTGTCTTTTTATGAAAAATGATCATTCTCAATTGCAATACTACTTTGCGGCAAATTAAAAATAAGTGTTATCACACATACTCTGTAGGGTCATGTACTAACATTTTAGAGACATATTTTGCTGGCTTTTCCTCCTAAACCCCACATCCCAAAATACAGGCAAAAATATAAATCCTCAGTTTATCCCTAGCAGTCCAATTTACTAAATACTGTATAAGGAATTGCAATTTCATTCAACTACATATAGAGCCAAAAGCATTCATTTTCAGTAGATCATTGGAAGTTCTCACCTTCGTTGGCGTTACATTGGTTGCAGCCGTTCTGAGAAGATACTGAGAGTTATAGGCAGGTGACTGGCTGTAGTAAACAGATGGGCCAGTGGTAGCAACTAAAAAGGAACAGGACAACAACTTATACTTTGATTTTTTTGGTTCTTGTTTTGAATGGGCTCTGTCCAGCAATCAAGTTTTTAATTGTGAATCATTAAAATATTTCTGCACTGTTTTCAGAAATCTTACTTGGTTAGCTAAGCATTTAGATAAAAACTCATCAGGAATTTACCTGTTAACGGAGCTTCATGAAGATTTTGTGGTCTCTGATAACCGTCTGACATAGTATCTGTTCCATAGCTTTCAGCAGGCCACCGATGAGATGATGCCTTTGAGTTGGAATTACTAAGTTTCATTTCTTGCATTTCATTCTGTCAAGACAGTGTGCCAATAAAGAATATAAGTATATATTACATAGGTATTTCTAGAAGAAAACTTAAGGAATGATCCCTACCCTTTTTTATTTAAAAGGATGATGTTCAAGGTTAGGGGAAAAAAATAAAAATCAAGTTATCTGCCAGAATCATCCAAGATCTGCCCATGCAGTACAAAATATTAAGTTTGTATTCTAAAGCCAGAAGTAAAAAAAAAAAAAAAAATCCACAAAAAAGAGCCTAGTGGATGAGAACCAAGCTGATGAAAGCTCTTTCTGTACACCGTTCTTAGATGAGTTGCCTCTGCATCTCTGCCCAAGTTCCAAATGAATCTTTAAGCAAAAATATTTACTCTTGCACTCAATTTAGGCAGATAACTCTACTGATTTTAGTAGTCTAGGACCTGTAAGTTAGTCCATGCTACTATCACTAAATCCTTATGATCAACAGGTCTACTCTTCTTCACTCAATATGGTGACAAAATTGCTTACCTTTAAAGCTTCCATTTGCTGACAGATCATTTGAAGTATAGATCTATGATCTTCCGCCCACTGAGGAGGAGTTTTAGGAGAAAACTAGAAGAAAAAAGTTCACTGAATCTGTTGAAGTTTTTCTTTAAACATAACAACTCCTTGAAATAACAGGTGGCTAACATACCTTGTAGCTCTTAGTTGGTGAAAGAGAAAACTTTGGAGATGGAGTGGAATGTTTCATCTGTGAATCTACAGCTTGTGACAGACCGTTTCTGAAGGCAGGACTTCCTTCTTCGTCATTCTCACCAAGTTCCTGAATCACTGTGTCTAACACTTCCCTCACAGTTTCAACAGACACCGGCAGCTAAAAAGTTATTTGAAACTTGAGTCACGTTTGTAACTCTCCCTCAGAGCGAGACAGGCTACATAGAGTTCTGGCTTTAAAATTCACAAGGCTTTCACTACACAATACTGTTTTTTTCAAAGCTCTAAAACTGTTAGCATTAATGTAAGAAAATGTTCCACATAAATATTAATTCTATTTTTCCAAACTTTTGACCTCTAGGAAAAGATAGTGGCAAAAAACTTTCATCCACAGAGTAGTGGGAATACTGCATGATCTGGTAGGTTACAGAAGTTACCCACAATTTATCAACCCATTGGTGTTAAACAGTTAAACTTATTTCTTTGGTCAAGATAAATAAACTTGCCTTAATGCAAAGCCTGGTCTAAAAAAAGCTAACATAAATGCAACTGGTTTCATTTTGAAACAGCACCCAAAGCCACTGCATCTGTTCAAACAAGTTTTTAAAGGAAGAATTACTTACTTTCTCAGTTACTGACATATCTGAGGAGCTTTCCTCAACAATCTTCATTAGATAATGTTTGCTTTTAAGAAGATATGTTTTATGTTCCTCTTGTTCTTCTGGCAGCATGGCATCATTTTGAATCTCTTCTGCCTTTCTCTGGAAAATCTAAAGAACAAGACACAGATTAACAGGATCAGAAGGCGACTGAATAAAGTAAAGCATCATGGGGTAATGCAATTTGTAAACTTACCACAGCAAGATTCCAGTATGAAACCACATTCTTAATAGCTTCAAATGCTAATAAAGCATCATCAGTTTTGCCATCAACTGCATCCAATGTTGCAAATGCTATACGTGCCTCTTCCTCATATGCTGCAACCTGGAACACCTACAAAGAAAGTGAAAGACAACTCATATCTGACAATGCAATGACACAGCCATTATAGTTTTTCTTTCTGTAACACAGCGAAAATACTCCTTCTTTTAAGTTTGTACTAGGGGTGTTCAGTGCCTCCCAATCACATACTCAGTTTTCAATGTAAGAATAAGGTTGTAAGGAGAAATTTTTTTCCCCTTTATCAGACACTGATACAGTAATAACATGAGTTATACAATGCACAAAAAAATCCCACTACTGCTTAAGTTTCTGACATAAACATTCTCTTACTTCAGCCTTAGCTTAATCAATTTGTACCTGAATGTCTACACTATGGAAGTGTTTGAAGAGAGGATCAACAGGTTCAGGAATACTCCTCTTCTTTTTGATAACTTCCAGCATAGGCAAAACTTTCTTCCAATAGTAGACACTTCGTCCAATGTATTCCTTCTGGTCATAGAAGGAGTTAAGGCTAATGCCCTGGTGAAGAAAAGGAAATAGAAGCACATCTTGTTCCAACAAATTCAAGTAAAAAATGCTATTCACACATATTCTTCTCCCATTTTATTCAGAAGTGCCAATAGTCCTTCTCTGACACTTGAGATAAACCTGAAGGGTTTTCTCTCAAGAGCTAAAGTATCATACATGTATAAAACAACACGACAGTTTCAAGACAGAGTACAGGGCAACTAGAGCAACTAATTTGCCTGACAAATACAGAGAATCATAGAAAGGTTTAGGTTGGAAGGGATGTTAAAGACCATTTAGTTCCAACTCCCTGACATGGGCAGGGACACCCCTCACTAGACCAGGTTGCTCCAAGCCCCATCCAGCCTGGCCTTGAACACTTTCCAGGGAGTGGGCATCCACAGCTTCTCTGGGAAACCTATTCCAGGATCTCACCACCCTCACAGAAAAGAATTTCTTTCCAATATCTAATCTAAATTGGCTCTCCTTCAGTTTGAATATAACGAAAAAAAGAGTAGTTCTCATTAATACACTTGCATCTGATTTCTCTCCCCCATCTCAGTCTGTTTACAGATGAAAGAAAAACACCTCAGCTTCTACACATTTAAAAATAATCTCGGCTTACTGTTTTTTGCAAGCTTTTTGCCCAGTGTATAATTAAGGCAGGTTGAAGGCCATGCTTCTCCAGTGTTCGTAGAGTACTTATTCCATGCTGTACGATAAGCCGCAGTTTTGCTGCTGTTCCTGGTCTGAATATTAGAAGAAACATTCTTTGATTAGTATTCTTTATTTTTCAACTGTTCACATGTCATTTGATTGATGATGATAGCTTGCAGTTTTAGTCCTAACCTGCCTCTAGTTTAGAAATGCATTGTTAGAAACAAAAATTCTATTTTTCAAAATCTTGCAAGTGTAACAAGTCTCTACTACAACACAGATTTGATGTCCAAAATATGTAAAAAAAAAAATAAAAATTAAATTTTACAAGAATCTACTGGGACCAAGATGCTGTAGCAGACACTGCCTAAAGGATTGGTCAAACATTTCCAAACTGAAAAAAACTTACGTTGTTTTTCTCTGAATAAGAGTACGAACAGCATCCCACCAGGATCTTTGCTTTTCAGTATAGAGCTGTTTGCACACTGGCAACGGTAAGAATTGAGGTTGATGTGCACCATAGTGAGAATTAAACTTCTCTTGCAATTGTAAGTTGCTAGTGAACACCACCCCAAGTAGGAATACCTATTTTCGTAAAAATAAATAAATAAAAAGTATTAAATACAAAAAAACCCGAAACACCAAAATCCAAGACTTAAACCCTACAGTACATTTAAGAACTTGGAAAGTTTACTTACTTCAAGGTCCGACAGGCAAATGGATTCAGGAGCATCTGTCTCAAGTCTTGATGTTTCTTGGGGCAGGTGAAAAATCTGTTTTAACCATTTGCGCATTGGGGGTAAGACTGACATAGAGTTCCACTGCAAGCCAAGCCACACAAGGTGCTGGAGACTGCCATTGTGCATTCGAACAGCACCTGCGCAAAAACAAAGTTGGATGCGGATGTCAACTTCGTACAAGTCAGCAAGACTTGTATCTGATCAAAGTCATGTTTCACGTTTCGCTGTCAGAGCAGCCAAGGATACTTTGCAGACCAACGAGCATCAAGATTCCAACTTTCACTTATGAAAGGTAACAAACTTCAAATTAGCCAAACATATCAAGCAGACAGTTCATCTGAGTGCTCCCTTAAATTTCTGAGCGGTGACTCAGACTTCCTTTCACTTCCATCCTCACCATATTCAGTCTTCTCCAAATTTTTAAGGAGTTATTCAAGAAGGATTTCTTTACTTTGCAATAAAGTCTAAGTCTCGCCTAGAACATTAGGGCAACTTTGGACAGCTATCCGAGGTATTTGTCTTTCGTTGCAATATGAAGTAGTTGTGCAAGAGCTTCTGATACAGAAAGTTGTGCTGAGCTTCAGAAAGTAACAGTTCTTACCAATATCATACTTATGAAGTTCGACTTGCACTGGTGCTTGTGTACTGACATTTCCAATGTCATCTGTGCCAATAAAAGATCTCTCTTTGGAAGCTCCACTTTCAAACAGACTATCAAACAAGGTAAATGAGCCACTCTTGTTTGCAAATGACTCCACAATCTCTTTAAAGAAGTCTTGCTTGCCATGGCTTAAGTTCAGCAGCATATGACCTAGGAAACAAAAATATCACTTCACATAAATAAAGCAGTGAATGTAAGAAAAGCAGTATTTAATACACTACACTGTTTTTGCTATCAAACACCGAGCAGAATCCAGGACTTCCCCTCATGAAACCTCGAGATTGTTAAGCTATGTCCTCTTTGTAATTAGGTCAGTGTTTCATCACACAGGCCTCCTAAGCTTTCAGTAGCAACAATCCCAAGGCATTTGTAAATCTGCTTCTTTCAGAAAACAAAGTCAGCTTATTATAACTATTCTAGGGTCATTGCAACCATCATTAAAGTAAGTAGCTGTACTAAGTAGAAGTCTGTCTTACTAAAACCCATTCTGAAACAATCAAACCTGATGTCTAGTGGGTTTGTTTTTATTTAGGCCTCGCAAGACTTTGTAGACTAAAACCCTCTATACTTGGCAGGAAAAAGAAGAAAGCTGACAAACAAGGAAGGGGGTGGAAAAGACAGAGAAACAGTAATGTTATTTTTTTTTCCTCTTGGGGCTAACAATACTTGCAAAATAGTATCAGCAGGCAAAAGACATTTCCAGTAGATTTAGAGACCTTAAAACCATAAAAAGGTTTGGGTTTGAAAGGTCCTTAAAGATCATCTACTTCCAGCCCCTCTGCCACAGGCAGGGACACCTCCCACTAGAGCAGGTTGCTCCAAGCCCCATCCAGCCCGGCCCTGGACACTTCCAGGAATGAGGCATCCACAACTCCTCTGAGCAACCTGTTCCAGTGTCTCACCATGTCTCACCACCCCTACAGGAACAAATTTCTTCCTAATACCTGATCTAAATCTACCCTATTTCAGTTAGGAGAAGAGGTGACAGTTTCTATTACTACACTCCCCTCCTCCTCTTTCCTGTAGGCCCCCCGCTTTGAGTACTGGAAGGTCTCTCCAGAGCCTTCTCTTCTTCAGGCTGAACAACCTTAACTCTCTCAGCCTGTCTTTGCAGGAGAGGTGCTCCAGCCCCCCTTTATGACCCTTCTCTGCTCTTGCTCCACGAGGTCCATGTCCTTCTTACGTTGGAGGTCCCAGAAACGAACACAGCAGCGCAGGTGGGGTCTCACAAGAGCAGAGTAGAGGCAGAGAATCAACCTCTCTTGATCTGCTGGCCACCATTCTTTTGATTCAGTCCAGGATGCAGTTGGCTTCCTGGGCTGCGAGCGCACGCTAACGGCTCACATTCAGTTTTTCATCCTCCAATACCTCCAAGTCCTCCTCTTCAGGGCTGCTCTCAATCCACTCATCACTCAGCCTTTATCTGTGCTTGGGATTGCCCCAACCTAGCTGCAGGACCTTACACTTGGCCTTATTGAACCTCATGAGGTTTGTACAGGCCCACTCATCCAGTCTTAAGTTAAATCTTAGTGTGCTGGAAAGGCAAAAAGGAAGGAAAAAGAGAACATGCTCTACTAGGATGATAAAGAGGAAAAAAAACCCCAACCCTTTAACTGTCAGGATCAAAACGACTGTTCTGCTTTACTTATGCAGTCAGAACCTAGAAGGTTTTATTGTATATTGAAGTGTTAACATTACATTTCATTATTACAAATGTGTTAACAAATCGCTTAACCTTTAACTAAAATGGAACCATGTAGCTGCTTTTATTACCAGACTGGCTTTTGCGATCACAGGCCAAGGTTTCTAGCACATCTTGTCCAGTTTGATCCCCCTTTAACAGCTTGGACTTTGGTTTAGGAACCTGGTGATAGCAGGGAGAGAATTGTCACAGGAAGAACAGATAATTTAAAATAGTCTTAAGAATTAGGAAACAAGCTTCTTTTTAGCATTAGAAAACTATAGAAACCACCCCCACATAATTCATTCCGAAAGAACTATGTCACATATCCTGGAGGTGGGGGGCAGGGAAACCCAAAACACACAAAACCCTTAGGTGGGCAATTATAGTTATTGCAAATAACATTAAGTGCACACAAGAGCAAGTAATATCTGGAATGCAAGCAGTGGCATCAAAAGGACAGTGACTTTTACTTCACAAGGCAAAGAATTAAACTTGATTTTTTCAGTTCTGCTATCTACTCAACAAGCATAGGGGAACTATTCTGCTCATCCCCTTCCCTTCCTGTAGCAGTAAGCTTAACACTTAATGAATGTGTTCAGATGTATTACAGAAAAGGAGATATACTCTAGGAAATACACTCAGTAGCCTTTAAGAATCAAGTTACTCTGACAAGGGAAACAGCTGATGACACACTTTTACACTCTTCATGTCATCTGAAACTTCTCAAAGAACTCTGAAAGTGGAGGGTTTGGTGACGAGGCACAGAAACACTAGATTATTTCAGGGACGCAGGAGCTCAACACGCACACCGTTCTTGAAATATTCTTGCTGTATCAGATAAAGGCATAAACAGAAGAATTACTTACCTGGAAACTTATCAGATAACACAATGCTGCTAGCTCACACACAACTCTCCACTGTGCGTCGTTGTGTTGGGCCATTTTCAGTAGCAAAGTTCCAGCATGCATGTATAGCTGTCCTTTCATTTCCACAAAGGTACGAGACAAATCATCAGCCCCATTCACATATGGTTTCACCGACTGAAGCGCACGATCAAAACTAGAACAGAGAAAACTCATTCTAAACAGAGTCCTAGTAAAAACTACAGCAGATGGTTTTGGTTGATGTTATTTAACTTCATGTTAAAGTGAATCAAGTAACTTCATGAGTCAATGGTTACTACTGTCACTGCTGCTTAAACTCAAGTTGCACTTGAAGGTAGAACAATGGTCTCAAACTCCCAAAGCTCTCAACTCAGTTTATTGAACATATTACTACCTAGGTGTTTACAGCCTTTTTCAGTACATCTTTGCAGAGCTGCTTTCAAAACTATTCTCCCAAACCACACGGATAAGCTTGTTCACTACTGCAGACTGAGAGACATGCAGAGGTCACCAGTCACGCTGCTCTTCCCCTTCCTTCATTTATCAGAAAGGCCCAAAATACAGCTAGACAGGCTCTTCACAGATAGAAGGTGCTGTAGAAATCAGAGCAGCTGTAGGCTACTATACCATCACCACTCAAACAAGGCTTTCCAGAAAACAGTTATAATGCTCTTTCAATTACCTCACAAAAATATAATGGCTGTTAGTATTGCCATAATCTGGAAGTGCTTCAGATGTAATTACTTTGAAAGGCTCTAATAAAATGACAGCAGAAAAGCCAAGATGGTTTTGGTCAATATTACAAGCGAAAAAGAAAATTAAACATACTTGGGCATTAAGCATTCCTCAGCCATTGCTTGTATTGCTTCAAATACTCATTCAAGACTAACAGACTGAAGAATACTGTTTTACAAAAGACAATGTAACAACCACTGCATAATTGAGGAACAAAGGCAAGTCAATAAAAGCCAGTAAAGAAAGGGAAGATAATGGAAAGAATGAACACAGGTCTTAATATAACAACTACAAATACGGTTTTGTACTCCTCTAGGTATGTCACAGAGGATATGCCTGGAAGTCAGCTGGCCCTGTGACAGATTCCCCTGAAGGAGAGTGTTCTTACTGCAAGTGGCTTTCTCCCTACACATATATACATGTAGGGAGGTATAAGTACATCTCCACCTAAAATTCCCAACTATTCCAATACATATTGTGTTAATTGACAACAAAACGACCGAGACAAACTGATACACAAAAAGTGGTTTAGGTCTTTTGGTTGCATTTTTTTTGTTGTTGGCTAGTGGTGTTTGTTTTTTAATTAACTGTCAGGAAAATCTGGATTAGTTAGTCACTAAAATCATAGAATTGTAGAAAAAAAAAACACCACCACCTGAAGTTCAGAGTAACATTCTCCGACTGAAGGGAAGGAAGATAAAAGTTAGTTCACCCAGGATATCAATGAATCTTATCTGTGGCTGTGCGCTGACTATTTAAACAAGACTTGTATCTCTGTCAAAAGACAGCTTGGGCTTCAAACTTTGCAAGAACCATTCATAGCGGCTAGTACAGAGAATCTCCTCTGCCATCCATGAACAAGTTAAGCAGCAAAAGAGAAGCTTGACAGATGTGTTTTACAATCCAGAAAAAAAACAAACCCAAACAATTTTAATTTTTTAACTACAGAAAAGTTAAAATAGTACCTTTCAAGTGCTTCTCTGCATTCCTGAACATCTCTAGAAGAAAGTGTCATTTTGACAAAGCTGGAATAGGCCAGCAGATGATCTTTCTTGATAGCTCTCCAGTTATTTTTATCAGACTCCAAGTCTTGTACAGATTCCAGATATTCCTAAAGAAGAAAGTTCATCAAAGGATAAGGAACAGTCATCCTTCCATGAAGGGCAGTACTTCTCCAGAACTAATTAGTAGCATTTACTGCATAATCCAGGTTCACAGCTGAGACCTTAACATACTCTTCAGCAGCAAAGTTCCAGAACAACTTGCCTGAGCAATTTTATTCTTAATGGAACTGTTGTATCTAAGTCAGCTATTGAAGTTAGAAACTCTATACCCCTATAAGGCTTAATTTTAGGGAGTTCAATTATAAAGAAAAATGCCAAGAAGTATTTTGTAATTCCACTGGTTTCAGTAGACACATTTGAAGGAGATAAATCACTTGAGAAACAGCTGACAAAGTAATGACACTAAGAGAAACAGACCACTTAAAAAGATACGGAAGATTATCACAAGACCAAAATATGATTAAAGACCTCAAATGTCTCTACAACACAGGAACACCACTCCAAGCTTGACTGTAAAGGTATTTTCTTCTCTGCCTCCTGACAATGGAGCACAGCATCTCTTAATCTATTATTTGAACGGTAGAGCGCAACTAGTCTGATGTTTATGTAGACATCATCTGGTCTCGCATAAAGTTCTGCTTGAATCAAGTCAAAAAGCTGATTCCATCCATCTTCACCTTTACAGTCCAGTAACTGCTCCTGTTAAACATGAAGGCAACACAGTAAGTCACAGTAGGTCTTTTCAGCAACTACAGTACCAGATAGGGTTTTTTTTTCCTCCACTACACAGACTCTATGACTCAAACTACATTACTCTTAAGAGCTTTCAGGTATTACAAAGTTTGATGAGATACATAAATATGTAAAAACGGAGCTAACTATTATAGAAGAAAATCCTGAGAAGAATTTGCCTATTACCAATGGTACAGTAGGGCTTGTCAAAACAGTTGTTTCAATGACAGCATATCCTGCCATAGACTACCTTGCTTAAAAACAAACAACAGACACCTTAAGACTTCAATGTGGTTGATGCCTGGCTACACAAACTCAGCACACCTGTGCAAAAGTGAGACTGCATGTCTGAAAGTATTTACATAGTATTTGAGAATTACAGCATTTCTCACATTCTGCAGAGTTTATCATAATACAGACTTACAAACAAAACAGCAGCACAGAGCAAGAAAGTCTGAGTTCACAAGCCAGCTGCCTTCCTGCAAGCGACACAATAGAAAGATCAAGCAGCACGTATCTAGTTTTAACTTTTTGGATGTGATAACTAAAACAGTTTTTTTGAATTTTTGAAGAAGATTAACTGTGAAACATTAAAAAGGGTTTGAAAACCCAGAGCTGCAGCTTTCTTGAAAGCTAAACAAAAACATCAGATGGTAAAGTAACATCTGGTAGACTTTAATATTAAAGATTCTAACACAATTTAGCCAGGAAGTTTTACGTACAGTGTCATGCAAAAAGAACTCCAGTCAGACGCTAAAATTTGTAGTCACAGAACAGAGGAATTTACCTTCAGCCTATAAACAGCAGGACTCCCAGGGAAGAGCTTGGCAGCTCTCTCAACCCAATATTTTGCTCTTCCATCAGTAATGTTGTTGTTGCAAAGTAACTCTGCAATCTTCAGTACCAGATCTTTCTGTGTTGGGTTCAACTCAACAGAACGCTAGTTTTCCCCATGCATGCACAGGAGGGAGAAGGGGTTGGGGGGAAGAAAAAGTAACTTGATTTTACTATCCATATAACACAAGAAAGAGTTAGTCTCCCAAAACCAGACCCATCTATTCAGTTTAGATCTATCAATACAAAATATACCAAGAAAAGCCTTTCTAAATGCCACCACCAGGTACAACTGCTGGAATTTTGAAGAGCATGTGAGAAATAATGCAAAGGCCCGCTCCTTGATATCTACCACTAGCTGCTCCTAGGCAGCAGGACTGTAAGGACCTCTAGTCTAGTCAGACATGGACACTTAAAAAAAAAAAAAATCGAGTGAAGATACAGAGTTTAAGAAATGTGATAGCACTTCATGGAGTTGTATTGGCAACCAGACTTCTCAGCAGATTATCTCCCTCTCCAAAACCAGAACAATGACATTCCAACTGGCAATCTGACATTTACACTTGCCTAAGTAGAATTAGATTTGCCCCTCCCTTCTGCCCCCACCCCCTCCAAAATCACCCAAACAAAAACTATACTAGGTCTAAAGTCTTCTAGCAGCAACTAGATTCTTCTTGTCATCACAGTCCACACTAAGGAATTCCACAATACATAGATCCTCTGCAGCACTTCATATGCTTTCCATTTTCAAATGTGTAAAAATAATACTGCTTTGCCAGGAACATGTTTTCTTCCATGGGTTTGATAGTGTCCAGCATATAAGGATGTTTTAAGTTCATTTACAAAGTAATAAAGCAGGACATTAGGGGTCAGTGTTGTACTTACCTTGTAACACCCAAAAGCTTTTTCTATGTTATCTTCAGCTTCATAAATTTGCCCAAGAAATCTGTGTGCTTTAGGATCTCTCTCTTGTACATTGAGGTATGTAGATATATACCTATTGAGTAGGAAAAAGCTATTTACGTCACCAATATTTTTCAATAATAGTCCTAGCCCTGAGCTATAATAACTTAATCTGCCATGCAGAGAGTATAGCTTTATTTTGCTCTAGATACTTTGTCTGGTCCTTACAGTAAGAAGGAACATTGTTTCACACATACAGATGCTACTTACTTGCCAGTGTATTTCTTTAAACAAACAAACAAACAAACAAACAAAACAGTACTTCACAGAAACAGTAAGAATTACAGAATACAATGAGAAAAAGCCATTTCCAACCAATAACATTTTTAAGCTTCTTTGAAGTTGTCGTTTTATAAAGATTTAAATGGCACTCAATATACACATTTACTGTTGCCTTAAAACAGCACAATATTGATCTTGGTTCCCCTGGTCTACTTCACATTAATTTCACTTTTCTCTTACACTTTAAAGAACAGAAAAGCAAACATACACCAATGCATGTTACCTCTTAGCAAGTTCATATTCTTTTATTTCAAAATACAGCTTAGCAAAGAGGAATCCTTTCATCGATTTCTGAAGGAGAAAAAAGAAGCCACATACTTTAGACACATGGTACTTTTAAAATAATCCAGCAGGGTGACCCTTCTTTTCAGCAATGCATTATACTTGTAAATGACCAAATTTGACAACTAGTGATCAGCTCGAATCCACTCCTCATATTTACAGGTTTGTCTCTGAAAGATGTAGGATTAAGAAAAGAGTTTTTCCCATAGTTGACAAGGACTGCTAGGCAAAGTACAGATTACAAGTGAAGTAGGCAACAAGCCTTTATACATGAGGCATTTCATAAACACTTCTGATTAAAGAGAGTGGAAGAATGGGGTCAGCTACATTTAATCTCCTTTGTTGCAACGTATCAAAGAGAAAACAAAATAAGCCTACAAACTAAGCGAGATTCATCATTTAGTCCTGCTGTAGTATACTGTCATCAGACACTACTGTTTAAACATACTTGAGGAAAAAGCAATTTCTACCTAAGTCATTCTCAGTCAGGGTAAGAAACATACGCATGCAGTAGTTTATTTCTGATGTTGTCAGCCCAAGGTGACTTGAACAAACACACTCTACAGGTAAAATATCTCCAAATGTATTTTGAGGGGAGTAGAACAAGAAAGCAACAAAGGAAAAAATCCCACCTAAACAGAGAGACAGTAGGCAGAGGGCAAGATGGCACAAACATGAGCAGCAGGAAAAAAAAAAATAACAAAAAGTGAAATGAATGACCTAAAGAATTAAGACACAAGCAAAAACCTCAAGACAGAAGAAAACCAGACAGAAATTCAAAGCTTGAGCTCCCAGTATCAGTTCAAAAGTAGATTTTGCCCATGAAGCAAAACAATACTGGAACTCATTATATCTATGATTCCAAATAAGAGTGCAGATTTTTGAATCCACTTGAATTACTAGTCTCCCTCCCTTTCTCACCTCCACTATTCATGCAAAGATTTAAAAAGTGGTTTAGAATGGAAGCAGACCTCATAAGATACTTCAAGTTTTCAGTTTGTATTTTTGAAGTATGTTATAAAAAGGAAGCACTGAAATATGTCAGCATAGAGTCACACTTGCCATGTCCTTTCAAACATGGATGAAGAGAAACCTCAAAATAAATGCTTTGCAGCTTTATAAGCACCCCCTCACACACCAAAACCAACACAACAAGAAAACCAGCAACTATTTCCACCGACTGTGCTATACAATTAGTTGTAAGCATTACTTAAAACAATAAAAAGAACAAAACTAAATATGCACCAGCTGGCCTTAAGCACAATAGATTGGGAGGAGGGTTTTTTTTGTTGTTGAGTTCAACAGGAATATCACAACAATTAGGGAGCACCTCTGATTCTGGTAGTGATGTACTTGACGTTGCCTGATCTAAATAGCACCCAAGTCAATTAAACAGTCACAGGACAACTTTGTTGCTGGTGGGAAGGTACAAATGATGATGATGAACACAGGCCCTGCCCTGCATAAAAACCCTACTGCATAATAGCAAACATAGGTGCATTCACACTGTGCAACACACTACTGAATATTCTGCCTCTGCAATAAAATCAATTTAGAACAGGATCTTTCAGGATTAAATAGCACCCATGAATTGCACCAGACTTCTCACTGTGACCTGTATACCATTTTCCACATATAAAGGCAAATGGTAACCAGTCATGCAGTTCTTCATCCTTCTGACTAGCTGCTAAAATACAGTAGGAAAATTAGTTTTATCCCAGCTCTCCCTCTCTTAATACTGTTTTTGGGTTTGGGTGTTGTGTTTTTTTTTTCACAAAGCAGTCATACAGACAAGAATATTAATTTAATTAATAAGAGAAAACTGAAAGTGTCTCATATGTTCCGTACTTCGGTTCTTTATTTTTCTGAAGTAGAGAGCCTCAAGGAATTTCGGAACTACACTCTCACAAAACTGAAGAACACTTAAGAGAGCTGGTGAGCTCCTTAAAGCTACACTAGGGCTTACTAAGCACAAAAGGAAGGCGCACAGCTCTGGCAAACGACTGCTCCTGGTTAGGGAAAACACCTGCAGTGAGCAAAATCCCATACCCTTCCTCACAGCAGCTTCCCCTACCGCACTCGACCTAAGGAAACACCGAGTAAATACAGACTCTGAAACACTCTCAGAGGCACCATAACTCCCTCATCCTCTCACCAGGGATGAGGAAGAGCAGGGCAGACCCATCTCTAGCACAGCACCGCACCGCCCGGCGGGGAGC